GCAAGTGCAGGTGGAAGTTAGAAATTTAAATTAGAGAAATCTTATGCATTCCTAGACTACAATTAATTTTAAAGCTCTGTAAAAATTTTGCAATTTTTTTTTTAAATCTCTGTAAAAATTCTTGTATTATACGTACAGGTATTTTAGATATCAGTGAGAGGTACCTTCACCTTAATACTTCTAAAAAGCATTACTATGATCATTAATTTTATAAAAGATGAGAATATGATCAAAATTTAAAACACAAAATAGATCTTAATAAATCTAATACTTAAGTATTAAACTTCTTTCTGAATTCATTCATTATTCAGGGCACCTACTGTTCAGTACAGTGCATAATGATTTTTCCATTCATCATAAGAACTTCCTAACGAGTTTTTTCACTCATATAATGAGCTCGTATTACAAAGGATAGGTCGCCAAAGTGAAATGTATAATGATCGATCAAACGCAATGCATTAGAACACAATTTTTACCCTTTTTCTAATTAACAAGAGATTTATTTTTAACGAGGCAGTAGTTTTTATTATGACCTACACCTTTATAAGCTTTTACTTCCTGAAAAAAAGTTTTAACTTACAAATTTGTTTAATATCACTCTTTACCTAATGTTTGTTCTAAAAAATCTTTAAATCATCTAAAGCTTCGAGTGGGGAAACGTTTTATGTTTTATTAAAAATTAATTAATTCATTAATTAAAAGTTAAAAATTACTGATTGATTGAATTGTCAATCTTGATTTTTACTTTTCATCCACTGTTTTCCAATCTTAGGTCTTTCAGAGAATAAGTTCGATAGTTTTACATACCAGGAATTTGACAGTCTCGTGTAAGATCGCAGGGGAAAAAATATGTACACTCTGCACACACAGAGGGAAAAAAAAGGGAGGGCAGTTCTATATCTCCCTTTCTACTGGCCCGATTGACGAAGTTTAATTTCAGTTTTTCATGTCTCGAAAGCTGGACATAAGATGCATATTAGATTTACACGCAACCTTGTTTTAACATAGGTATTTTGAAAAAAAATCAGACTTTTTTTGAAACGACATACTTATTTTTTCCATGTTTTGATTCTGCATTATCTGAAATTAACCTTAAATATTAAATTTTATAAAATTCGGTGAGAAACGTAACGAGAAATCTGAAACTTTATCTTGGAGCACTTTTTTCAATTTGCACTAAGAATAATTCACTTGGCATAATTCTTAATTTATTCTAACCTATTTTCCTTTCCTTTTAATCTGCAGTACTAACAATGATACGAATTTAAGGTACTACGTAGAGCAAAAACGAAACTTTGCTTCTGCTTTCACTCAGGATTTTTTTCTGAAATTTATGAAAATGGAGGGGCTTATTACATATGAAACAAAAAGAAAAATACTGGCATTGATTCAAAACAGCAAAAGTACTACATTAGGAAAACATGTACAATATTTTGATGCTATTCTAAAATTCCTAGATCTCTTTTTTTTTTATTTAATATGTATCAAATTAATACTTGGATAAGAAATATAGAATTGCGCTCATCTGAAAGTGGGTCAATCATTTCTAACCACCTATTACTTCTGCTTTTGAAATTTTGCATATTTATTTGGATTCCTTATTTTCAGATTCACTTACGAATTTATAAAATTTTGGTAAATGTATATAATCTGAGATGCTTGCAAAATATATCTGTTAGTACAAAGCCAAAAATCCATAAATGAGGTCTTATCATAATAGAAAGAACATACGTCGAGTCTCAGCTCTAGTAATACCCAAAATGGCTTCCTACAACTGAAATGGAAACTACAAAGTAATTGTATGCATTAGTTAATGTTTTGATACAAAATTTAACCTCTTTGAAATAACAGTGGTCCCATAACGCTTATATAAAGTTCAATTTCAAGAAAGTAAAGACTTCGTTTTAATTTAACTTAGGAAACAATCTTTCTGAGCAAAGATAGCTAATTCGGTTTAGTTCTGAGATCTAAAAGATTTAGATGCAAATTAGTGTCCTTGTCCTACTGTATTCGTGATTAAATTGTTAGATGTTTCGAATTTGCCGAGTTAGAAACATTAAAGAATTCTGTTGAATAATTTTCATTGAATGAAGTACCGTATTTCCAGAGAACTTTATCGCTTCACTGCTTCAATTTAAATAATTGTGAAAAGCTAGCTTGATGCAATTTGTAGATAGTTTGTAAAAGAAAAAAATTGTAATACTCCAAACAATAGACTAAAGGTTTTCCCAGTAAATCGGCATTATTTTACGGTTAATTCGGTAAGTTATTCGCATTTTTCCCTTCCCTTCTAAAACCATTTGTAAATAAAAAATACTTAATCATGCATGTAAATAAAGAGTTTTATGAGTAAAAATTCGTGTATATCTACGTAAATAATTTCTTAACATATCGCAATATTTGAATATGAAAAACATAATTTATTTTCACACATTTTTAATAGCACCTGAGAGGAGATTTTGAATAAAACATCTGTTTTTGAATGATTTGCTCTATCGAATCATCGTAACTGAAAAAATGGGTACATTTATAATATTTTGTCACCATAGCACTATAAAACAGATGTAAATGTCTACCAAAGACAAATATTCGTAAATTGGTTTTATTTGATTATAGCAGAGCACTCGAGGCCGCCTAGACTTAACAGTGGTTAGTAAAACGGATTGCTGTACCGAAGGGCCCAGGTTCGTATACCGAAGAAGGAGTTTGTAAATGTATGAATGACGTGGAGTTTGTAAATGTATGAATGAAGTGGAGTTTGTAAATGTATGAATGAAGTGGAGTTTGTAAATGTATAGTGCCTTTGCGGCATGGATGCACCGAAAATATATGGGAACCTTGTGTGGTTTAGTGGCAAAGGAGAGAATTGGGAGATCCTCGGACCACCCGTCCCCGGGGTATTTTCCCTGAAAATTGGGATGGAATTAGAAGACCAACCACCTTGAGAATCTGGCAACGGTTCTTCCATGAAATATGGACTCAATAGCAAACAAAGAAAGCATTCGAGAGTTATCTCCTTAAGAGTAGGGTTGCCATCATGGAGGAGTCTCTAAGCGGAACGGGCTCGTATACACGTTACACATGGGGAAAAACACGAAAATGCTCATGCAGTCATCCCTTTCGCCGGGATTTAAACCTCGTACCGAACTACCAGTGTGCAACGATTTTACCCCTCGGTCGCTGGTGGGAAAATATTCGTAGAACTGTAAACATTGAAATTGAGCCTTTAACCCTCGCCATTACCGGAGCTAATAAAGGCTAATAAAGGCTGTTTCTGGTTATGAGATTTTTTGTCACTTGGTCTATATTAGCTTATAATTTAAGATATTTTGCTTACTTTCTTTAATAATATAAATTTCATCTTAATGAATGTAAGTTTATGCAAATAGAGACTAAAATAAGTAAATATATAAATTTAGCTAATAAAGGCTGTTTAAATACAAATCTTCATGACAGTTCCAAAACCCCGTGCCACTCAGAAGGTTGGGGAGAGACTAAAACGTCTTTCGCATTATGAGGTCGATAAATTCTCCGGGAAGACGAAGGGGGAAACTTGATTCGCGCAGTTTGGCTATACCGTTGTATTGACTTGTACAGATAATTCAATGTTATTATCTCAAATCCTAGTTTGAATATTCTGAAGCTGATGAAAGTTTTCAAATGTAGGAATCACCTTGAGGCAAGAAGAACAGCGTATGTGTTTTTGGTATAATCTATGAAAGACCATTTGAATTAAAAAATTTCCTGCAGCACCAAGAATGAGTGACTTGATAGAAATATAAAACCACCATAAGTAAGACAGAGCATTAAAAAAATGAATGCGAATTTCTGATATATTTCTATAACATAAATAGTCTGCATGCACTATTTTTCTGCGTTATAAATGACGACTTCGAGCTCTCGTTCGCCCACCTGCGGCCGAGCGGTAAAATCGCTGAACCCTACTAGTTTCGATCTAGCTTCGAATCCAGGCGAACGGCTGTCTGCATGGGCATTTTCGTGGTTTTCCTTATATGTATGCGAGCCATTTTCCCTTCAGAAAGTCCCCCTTCTCTTAGGCGGATAGCCCTAGTGTGCTTTGCCATAATAAACTAAACCAAATCATCGAATATCCTTTCACTTAAAATAACACCTGTTAATTTATTTTAATCTTTTTCATTTTTTAAAAAAAATGATACACTGCTCCTTTTTCTTTTATTTTTAACCACAGATTTTTAACCTGCTAGAACTAAAGTATCCTGCTAGGACATTTTTAACCTGCTAGGACTAAAGTATCTTATAGTGGCAATAAATGATAGAAGTGTAAAATTTTCGAAGAATTTTCTCAGTTTGTCCATAAACTACAAACGAAATCAAAACTAATAAAATACTCAAACGTCCCTAAAGCATAAAACTTTAAAAAAAATTAGATCTGGAAACTTTATAACTTTATCAATATGAACACAGGTTTCGTTGATACCTAGATATAAGCACGAAGCCTGTAATTCTTATCCCAAAAAAAACTTTTAAATTAGTATCATTTTTAAAGAACTCAAATCTTCCACAACTCAGCCCACATATTTACTGATCGATTGTTTATTGAATATTAGATATACATTTTTTATTCTTCATTCTCTCTATTTCCCTCATATTTAGTTGTAAATCATACCAAGTATATAGACAGTATTTTATCTAACGCCCTCAAGCTTTACTTCATCTTGTTATACTATTACAAAATGTATGCTATTAAACTCTAAATTGCTTCAAAACATAACATCAGAAAGTCAATCCACATGTAACTTCAAAATTATTCCTTTCGTCATAAATTTTACTTTAACAATAACTTATATGAAAGATATATGCATTATAATTTTCATTTTTCCAGTTTCCTTAAATCCGGTTGAAGACTTGAAACCATAGTAGATATTTTCCATGGCCAATTTATCTAATTATTGTGTAACTTGTGTTTTCATTAATATCCTTCTCATTCATATTCTGAATTACTCTAAAACTATTTTCAGCTCTTTGTCTGGAACGAGTGTCTCCAGTGATTCAGCCGTTGGAACAAGTGACTGCTCCGCTTCGGTCCGTTTGCAAGAACTGGAGGCAGAACTCATGTTAGTAACTTAATGTCATGTTTAAAAAAAGGGTTAAAGGAGTAAAACGGACGAATGAGAACAGTAACTGTTTTGAGTTTTGTTTGTCATTAATACGTGTTAAAATATTAATTGCTTCAATACTTTTGTAATTAGTCAAAACTTTTGACACCTATTTAAAGATTTTGACTGTATAACATGAAAATGTTGTTAATGCTATTATTTTAGGAATATATTTCAGATCTTTTATCATTCAAATTAATGAATTGGAAAGCACTGATAAATTTCTGCTGATTCTAATATTTTAATAAATTAATACAAATTGATATTCACCAAAGAATGTAGGAATATTGTTTAAATAGCTTATTCCCCCCCTAACCGTTTGCAAATGGGATAGAAGTATCATTATTTTATATTATTTCTTTAGTAAATTCATAAAAGTAATTAGAGGTATACCTTTCATAATGTAAAAACGCCAATTTCAAAATTTGTTTTTAATTTAAAATGGTTAATAACTGCTAATTCACAAAAAAAATTATTTCAAGCTTTCTTCCATACTGAAAGAATAATTTGCAAAAATTGTAAAGCCCCGTAATAACTTCAAAAATAAATATAAAGTTTAGGTACCTGAAAAACTAAGTATTTAGAGTTTTTGGAATTGAAAACTTAACTGATTGTCTTAACAATAGAACTTAGGAACTGAACGCATAATTTTCAAAATGGACTTGAAGTAATGTTATAAATTCTCCAGGATAATTAATTAGTTGCACAAAAATACAAAACCGTAGAAGCTTTCAAATTTAGTTTTCCTGGCGTTCTCGTTTAAAATAAGTAATTATTCAGTACAGTTCCTGTAGCATTATTGTTCCTTCTAAAATCTTGTGCACAATATGAGTTTTCTTTCAATGAGAAATTATTCTCACAATGCAGTTTTATTTCAATAAAAAATTGAGTTATTCTCCTCTCTTTCTCCGTTTCATGCTCTTGTGTACTATTTCAATTGAAAAGTAAATGAATTGAAACTCAAAAATATCTGTCTCAGTCAAAATTATTCGCCAAAGGTCCGTGACAATCTGAAACGATAGCTACATAATTTGCATTTTAGATCACGAAGCGAAATTTAAATATTTAATATTTTCTTTGAATTTTTATGAATGTGACCCGTTTTTTATCCAGTAAGAAACCGTGAATGTCTATTTGCGCATTTTCAAATTTCTCTATTATGCAGAAAATCTTCTAAAAAAATATGATGACTAATTTACTGTTAATGCTAACGGCATTTTTGAGCTCACGCCGGTTATTATAAAGAAATTATAAAACTGTACCATCAGGTTTTTCCACTCTAAAAGCGTATTTTTTGCCGGATATTAGGATTTTATTACTTATGCAGATATTTATGGTTTCACGAATGTAAATAAATTTGGCTTGATGTTGTGCCGTGCCAACTATTTATTTTACTTTGGCTAAAAGTAACCAGATTTTTGTCATCAAATTCTCTTTCATCCCATATATCTTTATTGCTAACGCTTGAATCTTCACAGGTGCACGAAGTGCGACTTAGCGAAGGCCCTGAACCGTGAGTCCGCCTACAAGAGCATCATAGAAGAGAAAATTTTACTAGTCAATGAGCTGGAGGATAGGCTTCGATCAGCCGAAAACCCAGATGGGGACGCCATCTGGTGAGTGAATTCGATTTCAAAAAGAGGTCGCAGGTGCGAAGTAGCCAATTCATGTAGAGATAGTTAATAAGAATTGCTGTCGGCGCTTTGAGCTCTTCCAATTATTAATGATACACGTAGAATACGAATTTAATCTTCTAACTGAAGAGAAATTATTCATGTAAACTATATTTCATCTGTATGTGATAGAGATATTTATAATTATTTAAAAATTTAAAAATTAAAATTTAAGCAGAAATGCGCACTTTATATAATTTTTATTTTATACCTTTACCCATCAAACCCGCATCAAAACTCTATAGCAAAATATCTATAGCAAGCTAAATTTAGACTAAATTTATAGCTAGAAATCTAGCTTCGAGAAGGTAAAATACGTTAGTCATTTTAGCAATTGTGTGCGTCTGTAATAACTTCTTTTGACCACTGGCATTTAACCAAAAATTGACGGTTGCTTCCATTATAATAAAGATTTAGATTAGATTTCTTTCTACTAACTAGAATTTTGTTGTTGTTATTGGCGTGAAATACAGGCGAATGTGCATTGTTTTACAGAGTTTTTTTAGAATAAATAATGCTTTTCGTGGAATAAAGAAAATAACAATTGCTAGTTGTCCAAAATAAATTTTTGAACAAATAAAAATCCCTCTAATAAACGTCTTATTAATTGATTTACTAATGGATAAATTCTTCAGGGATATATATTTTTTTTTAATTAAATCAAGATAGTCTCCTTCAGTTTTCGATTTCAGTCCCTCCGCTCCTCCCATGACAAGGAGGGGGGGCGAAGGAGGGAAGTGATGCTTCAAGTTGGTTTGCGGTTTTTAAATATTTCAAGTGCTTTGAGTATGGCAGAATCTCAAACAAAGATGACAGTGAATAAAATTGAATACGAAAGTGGTGATTTTCCCATTTTTTAATTATCAGTGACTTGGTCGTTGTGAATAGAAGGGGAAAAAAAGTAAATCCATTTTTTTTATTTTGAAGTGGCTAATAAAGCTTTTGAGGGGGAGCCATTGAGAATAGAGAAGTTTTAGGAAAACAAGCGTAGACGCTTTATCATGATAATGCCAAAATACAAACTTTCCTTCTCGTTTTTAAAGTCACAGTTATTCCAATGTTACCATATTTACCCGACTTTTAACATTACTCACCCGTATAACTTTTCGCATTAAAATGCAGAACTTCTTTAAATCGACTCTATTTTCAAACGATTAGAAAAATAACAGAAATTCGAAGGTTCATGTCAAAATGCTGTTGTTACTCGGGCACGCACTATCCCTGAGTGAGTGCTTTTGTGTTTGTAGTTGGTCACAGACCTTCAGCTCTAGTGACAACGGTACGTTTTTGTTCATATAGAAAGCAACGTTGATCGGGCATGGAGTCTGAGGGTCTCGCACTCCTTTTCCCTTACTAGCAGTCTCTCTTGAGAGCTTTCATAACAACAGACTTTAAATGCCCTTTCCCAACGAAACAGTACCGGTAAGGCATGAACACCACAGACTTTCGTACTGTGTCTAAGATCTGAACCCAGGTCCTCGGAAATGTTGTTAATCAAAATATTATTACAAAACTAATGTGAATGAATACTAACTAAATAGAAGAAGGTGACTTTTTAAGAAGATTATTCTAATTAATATTTTGTAATACGATATTTTCTTATCAAGCCTTATGTAATATTAAACTTTGTAAAATACACCATGTAATTCAGAATAACATTTGAATTATTTGCTATTTGAATGATTTGCTTTTTTTATGTAAACATTTGTTTAAATGCAATTAAATTCTGCCGAATTAAGGCAACAGATGATGCATTAATTTTAAACTTAAGAAAGAACGAATAAATCATTGCTATACTGTAAATTTGTCTTTTATTTAGCTAAATAATATATATTTTTTTAATGCATTTAAGCTACTTTTCAAATAAGCGCAAAAATAGTGAATTATTATTGCGTAATATTTGTATTCGCATTGAATGAATTCTTGGCTTTTGTTGTAACTGCGTCTAGTAACTGCCTCTCGGGGCAGAGAGAACTGAGTACTTCTGCTTTCGAACAGGAAATCACCTGTACATAAAGGAAACAGTTCAAGTCTTCAGGAGAAGTGTCGCATCTTACAGAACCACAACAGATTTCTCAATGAAGAAGTGCTAAAGTTGTCGAAGATGCTGCAGCAAGAAAAAAAGAACACGGAACATAAACATCAGTAAGTGTTTTTAATATCTTTTAAAGGGTCGAGTACCTTTAAATGACTCAAATATATTGCAATGGTTTGTGCTTTTATATTAAAGTTAGCTATTTTACAAGCATTTTAAAAAAATCCCATGAAAAAAATTCACTTTAGAGCCAAAGTGATGGTAAAAAATATTTCTAAGCGTTTTCTGTTTAAAGAGCCAGCTGGTTCAACAAATTCTCGATACTGAATTCTTTGAAATAAATTTTAAATACATCTGTGTGCAATTTTATACGAACATAAACCTATATATTTACTAATTTTAAGAAAATAATGTATTAACAAGAATCTAAAGTAATTTCTTTTTCAATTAAGATTTCGTAAAAATGTGATTTTTCTGTTTTTTTTTTTTTTTTTTCCCTGAAAATTTCAACTCCTCACTTTTCATTGCTTCAATTAAAATTATAGTAATTGTCTAAACAATACTGTCTTAATATATAATTATTCATACTTACAGACTTATCATTATATATTTTACCATTTCTTATCAATATTAAAAAAATAATATGTATTTGGAGGTTATTATATCTCTAAGTTAAGATTTTTCAAATCTATAGTTTTCCTGCTTGCGCGCATGATTTCTCCAAACCGTTTGTTGTCATTTCAAAATATTTTGATCAATTGTAAAATTCTTACATGATTATAAAATGCCCAACTATTGTGCATTTCGCACAAAAGAATTACCTTTAATTTTCTGTTAAAAAATGAACTATTTGAGGATCTCAAAAATAAAATATTTCAAAAACATATAGTAAAATTATTTTTAAGGTAGGTAATTTTAACTACAGATTCTAATCTGAAATTCCATTCTAATCTGAAAAAAAAAAATCAGCTAAACATAGTGATTTCTTTACCCATAATGCTTTGCGCAGTATATATTACAATTTTATACTGGTGACGAAGTAATCTGAAACATAAAGTAATAGATCAAATACCTCACCAAAGTTATCGTAATGAGTACACAGAATTTCAGGGCCGTGAACTAGTTAGTTATAAAAATATTAAAAACACACTGTTAACTGTGAAAGTAACACTGGTCAGATCGCTTTTTTTTTTTTTTTTTTGTTCACCAATAATGTTCCTCTAGCAGACTTCTTAATGACACTTGTTTTTCATAAACTCGTGAAACAATAGGATTCCATGAGTGAAACAACAAAGTTCCATGAATGTTTATGAAACAACAGAAATTATCCGAAGATGGCAACTATCTTAGATGAACTACAGATGTTTGAGCTGAGAAATGTTCGAATCCAAGTCAATGTTAAGTTCGTGCATGATTAATTACGTTATCTTTGATACTCAATACTGCAAATGATTTAATAGGAAAGTTTGTAAGGAGTCTGTGGACAATGTAACATATAAAACAGCAACTATAGATTGGTATAATATAATACGCTGCACCTGGCAAAATTCAAAACGTAGCGTTTCCTACTTTTTTTCGTATGAGAAGTAATATAAGAGTATTACACATTTATGCGGAGAAATGTCACGAAATTTAAACCTTATAGCGTCTCTCCCGTCTTTTCTGTCTTAAACCGTCTTTTATTTGCAAGTATAAACTAACGAGATGTTAGAAAACTGTGTGAGGCATTATCCTGAAGTACGACAAAGTCCAGAAAAGAGCGTAAAGCACTCTTTGTTAACTCAATGTAACTTTCACTGATAGCACCGACTCGTGCTTACAGAGGCCATTAAAGCTTATTGGCTTAACTCAAAAAGTAACAAGGAACATAAAATAAAGTAGATTTAAATTAGCCTAAAGGCCTTTCACAGGTTATTTAACGCGCAGGTAGGCTCTGACTCGTAAAAGTCGGCGTAAACAAGCTAAATGGCTAGAAGCACTCAAAACCACAGAAATCTAATTGCTAGTAAATCAGCGGTACTAATGTGGCATCAAGCAGGTATAACGCACTTTAAAAACACTTTCCAAAACCTTCCCTTGTAAGAGACATTATGTTAATTGGGAAAATCGGAGAAATGAAAAATGAGCAAACGCCTTCGCCGAGAATCCAACCACGGACCTCTGGAATACGCGCCCAGCGTGCAGACCGCCACACCACGAAGGTATGCCAAGGAATTCGGGAGAAATACCTTATATACTCCACCTTTTAAAGTGCGACTAGGTTTTTTTTAGGGGACCCAATCTTCAAATCCTAGGTGGGAAGAATCATCATCCACCTCCCTTATAGTTCGGGAGCCACTGTAGAGCCATTAGGTTAATTGGAAAAACCGGAAAGATGAAAAATGAACAATCGCCTTCGCCAGGAATCGAACTGCGGACCTCTGGAATACGCGTCCAACCTGCAGACCAATGCACCACGAAGGCATGCCAAGGAAGGCGGGAGAAATACCTTATACCCTTAACCGCTGCTGCTTTCTACCTCATTTGAATACAATACACGCGCGCTAGCTTATTAACATTCTGGCAAGAAAGTTTGGGTTGAAAACGAGAATAAAAGGAAAGTTGCTTTAAAATAAAATAACTGTTAGATGAATTAAAGGAATTCCCACAACCTCCACAAAAAAGTTTTAACTCTGATTTTTAAATAACAGTGTGTTATAATAATCGAAAGTGCTTAAATCAGCGTTTTCTACAAATTTGCATTTAAGCTATGCAGATGCAATTTTCTGTGTAAAGTGTAAGATATGTGGAATGCTTCGAGAATATTTACGAAGACTTTCTTCATACTTTATTTTGCCTTTAATGACGGAGTATGAGAATGAGAATTTACATAACTACTTTACTGTAATCATCAAAGATTTAATGCCGTATATGTAGATTCGCTTCACTATTATCCTTTCCTATAATTTCCGACGATTTGCTTCATGACAGTCTGTTATTTTCGACTCATCTGTTTTTAGCTGTAAGGACTAATTTTGAAAAATCTCAAAATAATGTGTCTAAATGCAAGTACCTAGCCTAAGGAAACAACAGGGGTGTTATTCTTGTCACTTACGTCTGAGAAATAATTCAAATAAAAATCCCTGGGCAGCCACAGAAATGAAGATAGACTATAAAAGGAATTTTTATTTGAAATATCCTCTTCCGCAACAAGAAAGAAATAGCCAAAAGTTCGTAATGTTTCTTATTTGGTATCTGCATTTTGTATGTATTTTTTATTTGCTTAAATGGCTTTATAAATTATTATGATTCATTTACTGTATCACAAATTTGAGTTGAAAAAATAAGTCATTTGTTGCAATTCAAATCTGTGAGGTGCAGTAAACGAATCATCCTCAAACCGCATTTCGTAGGAAATTTAAAAAAATATATTTCGAATTTAATATTATTCCTGTCGCTCCTCTCCTTCCTTATGTAGCTAATTCCAGACTGAGTTGAGTCTAAAAGGACTGAGTTGCTCATATTAGAAAGTCTGAATTCTTTTCAAAAAAAAAAAAATCAAAAGCGGGTTTAAGCATGCAAAAAAATATGGACAGCGTCGATATTTAAACGCAATGGATAATAAATTTTTTCTCCAAAACATATGAAAATTATCAGTTTTTGAATTTTGGATTTATTAAACAACCGTAAGCTGTCGAACTATCAACTTTTTGATATAAAAACTTAATCGATTTAATATCAGACAGGTTAAACGGAAAATCGTTAATTTTCTTCAAATTTATGTAAAATAGCGAGACAATATTACTATTTTACAAATGAAATAAAATTCTGAAAGCGTTAACAAGAGATATAAATTAACTGCTCTTTTATCGCTAAAAACCGCACGTGCGGATTTTAAATATAAAATTGTCTTTATGGCTTTTCTGCATTTATGCTTTATTTAAATGCTGCTAATTTATTATTAGCATTTAAATAAAGCATAATTCTCCCATTTATAATTCGTTAAACTGTTCCCTTTTTTTTTAACTCAATTGCTCATTAAAAGCAAAAATTCTAATTCAAAATTCAGGATTTCACAGTTTTTGCTGCTGAAGCTGGCTGGATTTTCCCATCATATTATATTGGGAACACTGATATAAGAGATCGTAACTCTAATGTAAAGTTAGGAATTATTTTTAATTTCCATATACAACTATTAATTTAGAAGTCAAACACCAAAAAATCAGCATTATATTTGCAAATTACTACTCAAGTTGAAACGTCAGTAAAGAATCGATAATGAAGGTAAACTTTATCTTGTCCAATTCATAATAGCGAACTTAAGTAGTATATCCTTATTACAGAAAATTGTTTCATAAGAATAAATTGAGTTTAATTAAAAAATTAAATTTAAATACATATTTAAATTAAATATTCTTTGCGCCATTGCTGCAAGGAAGAAATTTAAATTTAAACAAATTTAAATTCTTAACAAATACGTGTAAAAAAAAAGTAAAAAAAAAGCAAATTTAAATTCAAAAAAAAAAGGAAAAAAAGCCAAAATAATTTAAAATAATTTAAAAAATATGCAAACATGTAAAAGATTTAATTCTCGAACTAATCTACAATATCATTTAAATTCAAAAGGAAGATTAAAAATTAAAATGTATAATCATTATCGATAGTTCGCTAATAATTCGCTAATATTAGTTAAGATGCATAGTTATCACCGATCAAGTTATAGATAATCAAGTTATAGAGTTCGAAGAGTTGGAAACTTAAACGTGAACTCTACAAAGTTCCGTATTTATGTTATATTTTATATTTCACAATCCATTTCAAAATGCATATATTGGCAAAAAAATTCCCTACGTGAACATTTTCACTGTTTTATCCGTATTATCTGTCTATATACATTATGAGACTAGATAATATTTCCTACAGTGTGGTATTGTTTTCAGAGACATTAATTAACTAGAGCATCAAAAGTGCTAAATCAGTTATGCCTTCGCTGGGATTCGAACTATCTGCTAACCGAATGTCCTGCCAGTCCTGCCACTGCGGGAAAGGCGATTATTCCTTAAATTAAAAAAAAATTTGCTGTGTTTCCCCGGTACAAAAACCAAGGATTTCCAGTTGCTAGCCGGGCGTACTACCAATTACACCACTACAGAATTCTTAGAGAAAAGCGATAATTTATTATAAGTTTTTCTCATATAGACGGTTTTTATACCTGTATCTTGAATTCTGATGGGCTCATTTTTAAATTAGTAATTTTGTTGTCACCATTTAGCTTAAAATTATCTCGAGTCTGAATATAAACCACCTTTTTAGTGAATTTTTATATTTTTGAATGTTCTTGAAATGTTTGGTGATAAATTCTTCTGTGAGGGCATAGACTGTAAACTGAAGTTTCCCCGCTCTCGTAAGCTGCTTGCATTATCGCAAGATGAATAACATGCTTTTAGTAGTGTAGCAAATCTGTTCACGAATAGAAATCATTTCACCAAATTTTTTCAAGACATTAGCAGAATCACTTGCGTTTGAAATAATATTCTTATTAAGGATTCGGATCTTTAAGCTCAAATGTCTGAATTCGGCTTTTCTTTTCAAATCATTCAATATTCTTTTATATTTAAATCTTTCACGAAAGCCTCCCTTACTCTAGGCAGATAGCCCTAATTATAATAAAATAATTCTTAATAAAATAATAATAAAATAATAAAATAATTCAAGCTTAATAAAATAAGTGCTTAGTAAAATAAAAGTGCTTAATAAAATAATAGTGCTTAATAAAATAATTCAAGCCAATCATCTGATGTTTCATTTGGTTTATTTCTGTGTTAAGAAATTACAGTTCATTTGCACGGTTTAGTAAGGGGGGGGGAAGTTCAAAGTTTAAAAATCATAATTTTCCAGTTAGCGGAAAGAATTTTTGCGCGTGAATATGGAATCCCAAAATGTAAAGAACAAAATTTTCAGGTATCAAGAGATGATATTTTTTTTCTTTTGTATATCTTGAGACTTTTCATTTTCTCAAATCACCGACGGAATTTTCAAGCTTCGAGCACATTTCACTTCTATGTTTGAATGCGAAATGACGTTCATCTTTTTAAAATCATCTTCAAGCACCACTTTTTTTATCCTTACTCTGGAAGTGGTGTTCTCAAACTGTTGCTAAAATAAGTATACTAACTAGTATTCTTATATGATTTAAAGGAAAAGCGTTATGAATTTAGTCTTTTTCCTTTGTTATTGCAGCTTATCCTGTCGAGAAAATATTTCTTCTTGCTTAGCTGCAGGCGTCGCTTTTTCTCCTACGATCCATGTCTGTTGGATTGTTGCAGGAATAAATGCTCTTTCATGTATATTCCATATATTATTTTATGTATATTTCTTTCCTTTTTTACACAATAAGCAATATTTTCATGTTGAGTGTAACTAAAATGATGCGATATATGTGGCTGTTAAACTAGCAAGATTTTACCTAAATCAAAAATGCCTTTTTTTTTTAGTTCATAATGTAGGAATGCATATTTGCAGTGAATACTTTTTTAAATTGACCATTTACTCTAATCAGCCTAAACATTACGGCCACCCTCCTAATACCGTATTGCTTCTGCAAAACAGCTTCATCTCGCCATGACATGGATTCCACAAATCCATGGTAAGTGTGTAAAGAAAGGTTGTACCAGGTTTGCAAGCAGAGGTCACGTAACTATTGTATATTTCAAAGAAGTAGTTGATAAGCTCTGAGCTGATGCTCAGTGACATCTTAAATGTGTTCAGCAGAATTAATATCCGGTGAGATAACGCTGCCCTGCTGAAAAAGTCCATTTCCAGGGGTAAAGACAGAAGCCATGATAGGATGGATCTAATCAGCGACGGTGTTCTCGTCTTTCTTGGTGTGTTTTACAACAATCATTGGTCACTGTAACGCCCATGGGAACATCCCCCAAAGCATAATACATCCACCTCCTCCTTGTTTGCGTCTGTCAAATATTTACCCGAAAGACGGGAAATTCTGACGTGGCCATTCGACGGAGTGTAAAATAAATCGTGATTTCTCCAACTGGCCAACAATTTTTTCTATTGTTGTACGATACTTATGGGTCTACTATAGTCGTACTGGCGATGATGCTAGGAACCGATAAACTGTCAGCTAATATACACTCGTAACTGGGCTGAACTGTATTCAGTTGCCAGCTGAACCACAGGCAAACTTACTGATTTACCTACTGATTAAAATTATACAAATGGCAGGAAAAGTAATATATTACCCAATAATATTATATAAAACGTTAAATGTAATTTTAGTTGAAATTAACTTAGCACGTTGAATGAAGAATTGTTAAACTTTTGAATAAAGACTAAACTGAAGTGTATTCTTGAAATCAATAATGTAAAGTATAATACCAAGATTATGGTAGCTGAAGAAATCAAATACGTATAATAAATGCATATTTTCTGAATTATGCATGATACGGTAATAAAAATATGTCAATACAATGATACTGATAGTAATGAATTATTATGAAAATATGGATAAAAAATTTCAGTATAAAAATAACAATGAATATAATAAACTATAAAGAATTATCACTTTCCTCAGTACAAGCAGTAAGCGGTAGTGCATGCAGCTAGCAGTTGAAAGATTCATGGTTCGAATCCCAATCGAAGGCTTACCTGATTTGTCATATTTCCTGCTCGGAAGCAAAAAAAAAAAAAAAAGCTGCCTGATTTTACTGGAAATTAACATTCACATTACCAATTTCTCCGTGTTTTGAACTTATCTATTCGTTTAAAGCTCAGTGAAAAGTATAAGGAATAGGTGTTGGTGTGTATTTAATTATGGCAAAGCACACTAGGGATATCTGCCTAAGGGGAGGAATGCCTTCGTGGAGGACTTTCTAAGGGGAACTGGCTCGTATACACGTTACACATGGGAAAAACCACGAAAACGCCCATGCAGCCAGTCCGTTCGCGAGATATAAGGAATAAATTTCTCAAGCTTGGAAATATACTTCACTTTCTATTTGAGATTATTCAATTCATTACTCTAATTAATGACCAACGTGCATCTAACTAATAAAAGCAAATATTGTTTATTATCTTTTCTAGGCAAATGCGTCAGCTAGAAGCAGAGGTAGACCAACTGAAGAGAGACTATGTTTTCCTCATGCAGTCATCTCTCAGAATTAATAACTCTGATGGCCCAGAAACCATGGAAGTCTACCTTTATGGAGGAAATAGAGTAAGTAATATTCTTTATTTAACAAAATACAGTCGTTTTGTGTAATTATGACCATCTAGGGACCGACGAAAAAAACGCTGTGTTAAATGATCGCTGTAGGAAATGTAAATTAGGCTTATGTAAAATCGGTTGGCACCAGGGTGACCTCTTATCGTACTTTCGTAATTGATCTAGTGCAATTCTTTTTTTAATTTTTAGTGAATGTTGAAGAACAAATGTATTATTGCCTTCTTTTACCATAATACTGATAACCTCAAAACCACGAAAATTAAACAGCAAGTTTAATAATACTTTTCTCTTCTCTCAATTCCCTGCTTGTCGAATTCAGTAACATAAACATGATTTAATTTTTTTCTTCACCATTCTCTAGCTTTTTCCCCGAATCCCGTTCTCATATAAAAAAATAAATTGTTTACATTTCTTTAAGAGTTAGCACGTATTGAAGATGATTACAGTAATGAAATTCGATGAAAAAAGTAAATGTTTTAATATCACTAATCACCTTTTATCGAGGCATACCGTAATTTGAAATTATTTACGTTCCTTACGAAATTCCCTCTTTGTAATTTATTATGGCAATTGCATTTTTTGTAGAGCTATCAGGATAACCGATAATCATGCGATTGTTGCTTAAAATATTTCAAACTTCAGCAATTAAACTGCCACGGTTTTACAAAATAGGTTTTCTGTTTGTTTGTTTAGTTTAGACTGTTTTTGCAGCGGCTGTAATGCTGCAAATTTTCCAATGTAATTGAATAAAGTAGTAATGGAAGGTGTATAAAAAACTGCAAATTCTGAAGATTGTTAAAGTGCTGATAAATAATCAAGAATACATTTCTGCGATATAAAGTATTTTGAAGGAAAACAAACTGCTATATATTTCCGTGTTTAATGGCATTAGTTAAATTTGCCTTATGCCTTCTTTATTCATTAACAGCATCTGAAAAAATACTTCAACTCTATTCAAAAATACTTTTAAATAATGCAATAATTTTAAAAATTTCAAATTTTCAATTATTTTTTATTTACGACAAATAATAATAAAAAAATGAAATCAACTACAATACCCATTCATGAATGGACCTTTTACTTTTGACAAAATTAAAATTAAAATTTTCATCGACTGCATATTTTACTATTTCTGAATGGTTAATTTAACAAGATAAGCTCTAAAAATAAATTTTAAGAATTTTTAATCCGATGGTGCGGGTAGTTTGGTTTATTTGATTATCGTAAAACACACGAGGTTAGCCCTCGTGTGTTTTATTAGAACCTTTAATGCTATTTGCATATTAAAGAGGGATACCTTCTTTGAAAATTTCCTAAGGGAAACTGGCTGGTATCTACATAAAAAGCGGGAAAAACTGCGGAAACGCTCATGCAACCATCCCTTTCACTAGGATTTGAACTGAGGTCGAAGTACTAGCGTTCAGCGATTGAATGCCGTACGTGGACTATGATAACGGAGTGACGGTGCATTAAGATGGCAGCAGCAGTATATAAGGTAAAAAAATGTAAAATGAAAATTCTAGCTTTCATTTGCAATAGTTTTTTAATAGTTTTATTTCTAAATAAATTAAATTCTTTCTTTAATGTGGTTATTTCTCTTTTCTATCCTAAACATAGTAGCAGGCTTATATTAAATTTCTGTGAACTGTGATATTCCAAAATTAATCCTTGCACGGGGGTTCTTATGTAACGTCAGTGATGCAGATACTTGCATAAAGCTTCAACCTGCAAACTGAAACCTAAATTAGTCAGCCGAAATAAAGTCTAATTAAACCTGAGTTAGTCTTAACAAAATCTTCAGACTGTAATCCACGCATTCCATCTCCGCTTCTCTTTTCTGCTAGCTTGCTCTCAACTACTACTTTTTCTTACTTTAGAGCTGTCATGAAAATAAATAAAGATACAAATATAATTGTTGAAGGTTGGGTTTATGGACTGCACGAGTTTAGCAATGTTTGCAGCTGTTTCTTTATAAAAGTCGGCTTTCCTCGTTAACATCTATGTCATCATCAAAAATGATTTCATTATATTTAATAAACACTTATATATATGCAAATAGCATTTTAAGTAACTGAAAATTTAATGTTCTGTTATTTTTTAGTACTAAAATGAAACTAAAATTGTATGGTAAATTAACACGGATTGTTAATGTTAAAGTGGGTCTTCCATTATGATAATTAGCAAATGCAGTTCGTTGTCTAATGGATTACTACAGTGAGATGAGTTTAAATGGTTTTGATCTTCTCTTTTGGTATTTGTTAATTTAGCGGTTTTATTATAAGTTCGTTTACGATTTAAGATAATAGTATTGTAAATAACCCCAAACAGAGATAAACAAAATTAAATAAAAATTTAGCAGTTTTTCGTGGGATTTAGCACTTTTTTCTTGCATAAATTAGTGAGCAATATTTTTGGTAGGCAGTCACCGTGGGACTTCGGACCTATAGGTGTTTGTATGAAGATGGATCTTCATATCGATAGTAGTATTTTTAATTCAGTCTTTTTTTTACTAACAGGATTCGGCTGTATTTAAAGATATGCAATAAATTAGTTCAAGGGTTGTATAGCTGTTAGGCTGTATTTAAAGGTATGCAATAAATTTTTTCTTGCATAAATTGGTGAGCAATATTTTTGGTAGGCAGTCACCGTGGGACTTCGGACCTATAGGTATTTGTATGAAGATGGATCTTCATATCGATGGTAGTATTTTTAATTCAGTCTTTTTTTTACTAACAGGATTCGGCTGTATTTAAAGATATGCAATAAATTAGTTCAAGGGTTGTATAGCTGTTAGGCTGTATTTAAAGATATGCAATAAATTTTTTCTTGCATAAATTAGTGAGCAATATTTTTGGTAGGCAGTCACCGTGGGACTTCGGACCTATAGGTGTTTGTATGAAGATGGATCTTCATATCGATAGTAGTATTTTTAATTCAGTCTTTTTTTTACTAACAGGATTCGGCTGTATTTAAAGATATGCAATAAATTAGTTCAAGGGTTGTATAGCTGTTAGGCTGTATTTAAAGATATGCAATAAATTTTTTCTTGCATAAATTGGTGAGCAATATTTTTGGTAGGCAGTCACCGTGGGACTTCGGACCTATAGGTATTTGTATGAAGATGGATCTTCATATCGATGGTAGTATTTTTAATTCAGTCTTTTTTTTTTTTTTTTTTTTTTTTTTTTTTTTTTTTTTTTACAAACAGGATTCGGCTGTATTTAAAGATATGCAACCATTTCGGTGTTTTAAAAAATATTTATTTAAACAGAAAAATAATGGGTGAAATGTCTTGGTAATGCAAGCAAGACTCCAGAAGACAACACTGTTCTTCGGAATCAGCAAAATAAATATGCAAACATCCCATCCCTTGGTCTGATTCGTATGAATCAGACGTTGTTTCAGACAGCAAATGGCTTAAGGTGATTTATCGTACTAAAATAGACAGTGTACTTAGCTGGACTCAAATCGAGGAATCCGAATTGCCGAATCGTTGTTTTAGCACAAGCAGAGCCTAATTTTCACCCAGGCCCAGTCTTATGTAATCTCAAAATCATCCTATAAGTCCTCATAATCCTGTTTTTCTCGCTTAAAAGACCACAAGGACATCACATACAGAATGCGTTCATTCCTTACATAATGGTAAACTGAACACACAGATACTGTGAGCCGACTTTAAGATGGTCGTGCACAATTCCAGACAATTCTGATATTCTGCGAAGGTAGTTGTCTTAGATAAGTGATATTCATTCCCGTTATTGATGTATACTTTCAAAAATACTGGTTTTTTTCAAAAGGAAAGTTATCATTGAAAGAGTTTACTGTATTTTCAATCCGCGATGTAAACTGTTATAGTCATTTTAGGAAGCAACGAAAAGTAACAAGTGGAATTAAACTCGTTTTCATAGAAACTAAACATAATTAAAATAACAGAAACCTCAGTTCGATTTGCGATTCTGAAATATCTAAAATTAGTGTAAAATTCTCTTTTTGGTATGAGTTAATTTTTCGTGTAATACAGCAATTTCAACAAGCAAACGAGTTTGTCAGTTTTGCTTTATTATAAGATTAAAAGTGTATTACAAATAAATTTTCATATTCACATTTGAAACGCATTCACACATGGAAGGAAATACAATGTCAGAAAGAGTACAAGTTACCTATCTATCTTGTGGAAATGTAAGATTTCGTTTATTCCAAAAATTGCATTCAGTTTAGGAAATCAGCAATAGAAATCTTCGTTGGCCGTCCTTCATTTCTGCTCTATTGTAATCAGCCGGACTCTAAAGATGTCTTGCAACTAAAACTATGACTCAATGCATGCGAGGCACTTCAATTCAATTTAGCGGTGGTAGACAGTCGCTTAATTGCTTTTCCGTTGTCGGTGTATTTTGAAGGACACTGATTTAATGGAACAGCTTCGTTACGTGTCTTCGGAGTGTTGAACAAATTTGGTAGCAACATCGAAGCGTGAACAACATCAAGTACGTAGAAAGGGATTTCATTCATATACAAACTGTGTCGTCATGGCGCTTTGTCATAATACAAGTATATGGGAGCGTTCTAGGGTGCACGAAGGTAAACTATGTAAGGCTGTTTCCATAAGTAAAGACTATGAAGTAACATGGTTACCAATTTAAATGACGTTTTTGATTACCTAACACAAAGTTATTGTCATGTGAGAGGCACAACATTCTGGCAAACGCGGGAATCTCAAGGCTACAGAGGAATTTATTCGGCGTTAAACTGGTAGGGGTGAAGATGGCTATCATGCAAATGAAATCATGTGACGGGCTGAAAAAGGGTAAAATTAGGCAATATTAGAACCAGTAAAAATGTTTCTTTTTTATACCTATTAAATGTAATAATAATAATGCATGCATTAATAAACGTACGAGTAAATTCGGCAGTTCGAATTTTCGATAAGTCGATCTGAACATTTCTTAGATAGAAAAAGTTATAAAGCTTAATGCTGACATTTCTCAATATAGCGAATTTCCTTAGTTCCAAATGTACGATAAGACGAATTATTTTAGAATGATGCTGAGATTATTTTCTTTGCTTTTTTTCTCCATAAGCAGAACGGAAATATTATTCCGAAATCGCAGAATTCAAACTTTTCTGAGATTTTTAGTTTAACACTCCCAGGCAAATAAAATGCTGTTTTGTGATTATTTAAAAATATGCATAAAATTTTAATTTATTTTACAAATATGTCATATTTTTATTTGGAACTAAATGAAACTAGGTGCACGTGAGAAAGAAGAGAAGTCGTTTCCCATCTTATTTTCTGATTCAGTGTATGTTTTAAAAAAATAAAAAAGTATCCTCTTTAAAGTATTTTTCTTATACCATATTTGTATTAAAGCACTTAAGCTATACTTCTGCTATTGAAATGAAAAATAATATTACAAAATGTAGATAAAGCATTTATTTAATTAACTTTTATCACCACTTTCAAGTGAATCTTTGTCGTCAATTACTTAATGAAAACCATTATATTTTTATATCATTTGCCTATAACTTTAAAAAATTAAACTTCGTAATTATATTTATTTTTCAACATTTCTTGCTCACCGAAATAATTTTTATCAATAATACACGCTGTAATTTCTGTCTTTCTAAGGTAAATATATTTTGTATGTATATCCGGTGTAGCATCCTATGCACTTTTCAGAACTATTTTCAAATATCTCGAATTTTTTTATTCATCGAATTATTTTTTTTGCTGTTTTCAGTTTCGACTCCTTAAAGCTCGATTGGAATATGCAATAATTAACATATTAAAGCCTTATTTGAGTTTAATAAGGATTACTGGAGGTGTTAAAGCAACAAGACTTAGCGTAATATTCATAAATTTGCAGGACCTAGTGTCGAAGGTTTAACTCTTTGAGTGGCAGGAAAAGGCAATTAACTTTTTCAGCAAAAGACTTGTTTTATTTACTATATCAGGTGTTACAATGAAATTATTTGCGACAATTGCACATATTTTGTCCAAGACGCGTGAAAAAAATGACCACTTCTGGTGGTTAGTGTCAGTGACCACCGCCCACAGAACACATCCCTACAAATCAGTCTCTATGGTACTCATGGAAACAGTTTTTCTTTTTCAAGCAGTGTGCAACTTTGCATGTGCTGCATTCCCACACTGTTCTTACAGGCCTTTTTCTGCTGCTGCAGAGTGCACATCGCTGTGATGTTGTCTTCGATGGCTGATGCTTATTTTCTTGATGACGAATTGCTGCATCAACTACTGGCTTATGTTTCTTGATTGCCATCTAGTGAGCTGCAAGGCAACTTCAGAAACGGTCAGTCTTGAAAATCACTCACACGAGTGAGTAAGGCGTTCAATAGAAAAGGTGGTTACTACAGGTAACCACCGCTCTTCAAAGAGTTAAATAAAGAAACTTCTTCAACGACCCCAATTTCAATCCATCTTTACCCTCAAGAAAGTTATTTCACAGTTTTTTCCATTTTTCATCATTAGATGGCATTAGTAGCTGGACTCCCTTTCTCTCATTCTTATCGCCTAAGTACTTAAGCACTGACCAAAGAACTTCTAGGTACGTTCTTTGCAATGGCTTCTCTTTCGTCATTTGCACTTCTGCAACTTAAAAAGTTCTGTGTTTAAAACTAGGCCTGCAAATTTATGAATATTACGCTGATTCTTGTTACTTTAGCACCTCCAATAATGCTATTAAAACCTTACATAAGTCTACATATGTACTTTAGTTTGGGCACTAATGTTCATATGTACTTTTATTGTACACTGAAATAAAATGCTTTTAGTTTTCATTTTAAATTACATTTCAAAATGCATCTCTTTAAGAAAGATCTTAGAAGATATAGCATTCTGATACATAGTGAGAGGAATAAATGGGCAAAACTAGTTGATAACTTTTAATCTAGTAATTAATATGTATGTACTTATGGATCATACTAATAATGGTAAAAATAAATGAGTTAGTATTTTATACACCACGGCAACAACGTTTACCTCATACCGGCGTTTGTACTTAAAGCAATTTTCTTAACTCGTACATATATTATTGCTAGAAACACTTTTAAAATGGCTCGAAGTCATACAACACGCTTTTATATAAGAATAAAGCTTTTAATGTGAAGTCTGAACTCAGGCTGCGTGTATCGCTATATGTTTCATTTAGCAAAGTGTCGTCCTCTGGGGTTTCGGCCCCTTTGGAAGGTTTCCGAGAAGAGGCGAAACTAGTGTGTGGACTGCTAACGCGGCGTGGGTCTGACCCTGGGCTCCTGGCGTACATACAATATTTTCAGTAGTAAACTAATAAGATTTTAATTTTAAAACGTTGACTGCGTACCCATAACTTTGGTCTTAATGTGTTATTTGATAATAACTTGAAGATAAATATTGAAATTGTTGTAATAAATTTTTAAGAATTTTTTTCCCATGTTTACAGCACAGAGAACGGGTTCTATCCTTATTAGAGGAAGCTAGAAAAATAAATCCTACGCTTCCCGTCTACGAAAAGTAAGGAAGTACATTCTCTCATAATTTTATTATATTTAGAATTAAAATTTTATTATCATTATGAGTAAAATATAATTTTTAACTACTTTAATGCAATCATATATTTGTAATTAATATTTCTGATATATAAAATTATTTCTTCTAAAAAATTACTTCTCTTTTATACATATATAATATAATCGGTAAATATGTTGATGACTGACCGATAGCTAAAACAGACTGAAGATGGTGGTGTAGTAACAATTTGTAGATGGCTTTTCAGCGTAGGTACAAGGATTACTTTTACAGACAGACGTGGGCGAATACAGTAATTTATTGCTGGACAGCTAATTCTTGATTTACAGACTCTTCTTCACACATCATCATGGGTGCGATATGCACCACATCTTCATAACATTCTTTGCAGTTTATATCTTAGATTATGGACGAAGCAGAGAGGCGAGCCACGCGTGTTAGTAAGCAGCGAGCAAAGCGGAAAGATAGTGCGCTTTCAACAAAGCGTGATGTATGTAATCAAAAGATACTTTAATCTCACTTGGTGAAGAGCTGTCCTCATTGCAGGATTACATAAGAAAGCATGAAACTGTTTAATTGTGAAAAGACGCAGTCCCGAAAAGTTATTATAAATTATAAAATATCATATTAATATAGTTATTATAAATTATATAAAACATATATTTTTACTTTTAGAACAGAGCAGATACACAAATTAAAGTGAAGAATTAGGGGATTATTTCTAATCTAATTTCTTTGATTAACATACTTTATGTGTAACACACCACACACACAATATATATATAATATATATTGTACATTTCTTTCATTTCGTTGGCATCTTGATTTTTACTTCATTTTTTTCTTATATTTTTCATTTATTCTTATTTTTAGTTAAGTATTGTTGTATATGAATACTATATTTATTTTTTAAATTAATTATAATCAATTTTCGATTCGCTCGTTGGGGAATTATTTCACATTTCTTAACTTCTTTAAGACTTAAATTCGGATTTTATAAATCTGAATAGAAAATTTTAAATTGGAATGGGATTTTGTTCAGAAATGCAACTAACGAAACGCGCTCCTTGTGTATTGTTGGTCGTTGTGTGGAAAGATTCCAGTTCTCCTTGATAAGTCGAGATCATTCTATGGAATCAGCAATAATTCTCTTATTTTTTATTCTTTAGTTTGCATTTTAATTAACAATTCCAGTTTAATTACTTACAAATTCAAATTTTTTATTTTTACAATAGTATACATTTACTATCTAAATTTCACTTCACATTTCATAGGAGATATTTTTTCATGTATGTATTCTCTATTAAATTAAATTTTATCTTTCCAGCAATAGCACAGGATTTTACTTCTTAACTCCTTCTTAAATAAATTTTTAAGTTTTTTTTAACAGCTTATGTATCATAGATTAATATGTGTAAATTAATCTTATGTTTCATAAATTTAATGCATGTAAAATCGTTCAACATCTATAGCTACGATATACGTACTCAGATTTGCAAACATTTAACTGCTTGTAAAAAATTCTTAGACTTCTTTAACAAAAAGTTACTTTTATTTTAAGAATTAGAATTCTGGATGTTATTTCAAACCGCAGTGCTGTTCATTTAATCTGTAAGACTACTAAATCCAACTTTTATTTAATCTTTGGTGTAAGGTATATTTTTTTAATATGCCCATATATCTGTAATTTAATTCGGCAATTCCATAAGTAAATTTATGATGGTGGACCTCCAAAAAAGGATTAATAAAATAAATTTATATAGGGCTGCCAAAATTACGATTTACGATGTTCCTAGTTTTTTAAAGCAATTAATGCACCCTAATTATTATATGCTTCAAAACCTCACTTGTCCAATATAGACATGTCGGACGGAGTTCATATATTTTTACTCTTAATGTATTTGTTTTTTGTATATGTGTTTTTAATTCGGTTATAAGAATTCCTTTTTTCACTTTTATTTTTAAATATTTTCTATTTTTAAATAATTTAATAACATTATGTAAAAATGCTACTTGTTACAATTTTTTTACAACGTTTTGGCGTCTATTAGGCTTTACTAAGCGTCTATTAGGCTTTACTAAGCGTCTATTAGGCTTTATATTATTAGGCGTCTATTAGGCTTTAAACAACAAACGAAACACGACAAATGAAACACGAAAACCATATACACCCTCATTGGGATTCAAACCACGGACTTCCCGATTGCCAGTAGAACATACTACCGCTTACATCATAGAAACACACAGTGAGAAAGGAGAAATTCCATATAAAGTCTTGAAACCTAAGGTTTAGGATAAGGCTCATGGAACAGAAATGTCTGTAAATAAGAGTATAGCAATTAGGTTGCATTAAAGGCCAATCATGTCATGTGTTTCCGTTATTACAAGGAATTTACATTATAATCAATTTGATTATAACAATTATCATTATAGAGAAAATGAAATAAACAAAACTACGCCATAAAAACTAGAAATTTTCTCTAAAGGTGTAAGACCTATCTCTATTATTCCACATAAACTAAATTAAATCCTACAATGATCCTTGCTAATTCTCGCACAGGCGTGAATTAAATACCAGCACAAAAGAAAGGTGCAAAATAACCCTTTATTAATTCAAACTAATTTAACAGAAAGGCACGGACTTCGTGCGTTACAAAAACACCGTTCACTTGCGGTGGTAACTAAACTTAGACTATAATACAAGTCGAACCTGAAAATAAATAATGCAAGAACGCACTTCGATTTACGCCTAAGAAGTGGACTCATAGGAATCTAACCGGCGTGATACTAAACTGATAAGGCCAAGAGTCTTACTAGCGTGACCGCGAAATAACAACGAAACGTGCACTTGGCTAGCGAAACACACTCTGAATAAACTGAGATATTCACACATTTAAAAAGCACTTCGCTTAACTTTAAATTTACATCCTGGCGAGAGAATGTGAGGGGAAGTTGAGAAGTTTAGAACAGAAAAACGTTAAATAAATTTGTTATGCAATATAAGGAAAACCCTACAGAGAGAATCAGATTGCATCCGATCATAAATAATCTACCGAAATCCTTACATAAGCTGGGAAGTAAATAGCCAGAGAAAGCAAAAAGTATAATCCTTAGTAAAAATACAAAAAAGGAATGAAAAGACGACAGAGGAACATTTAGATTTTTTTTCTTATAACAAGAGTAATTTCAGTTATAAAATATATCTCGAGTTACCTCAGTTTGTCTTTCTGAAGAGAATGACTTTATTAGGAAATGTCATTGATATCATTGACAGTAATCTGAACAGTAGATGAACCTGGTAAAAATAACTGGGTCTGAGCACAATTCAGCATAAATTCATATTATACTTTGAAAGCTCGATTGCTGCAAGCAGACTTAAAAGTCCTGCTGCTTTACACTTTTAAATTTTTAAAATTATGATTTTTTTCAGTTGCTTTTAATGTTCCAATAATGTGTATATCACTGATCGCTTACAAAACTGTTGCTTTATATTTGGATTTTATGCTGTAGAATTGCATGGTATTGTGATCCTATGGTATAGAACAGAGTTTCTTAAATTGTGGGTCGCGACCCACAGTAAGGATCTCGGGACCTGCAATCGGGGGGCGCCAAAAATTTTACAACTTTGATAAAATTTTATAACTTATTATAATAATTTTACAATTACCAAATATTTTTATATAATGTTTCTAAAAACAGATTAAAACAATACATATAAAGAAAAAAAAACGAAAACGTTTCGACGCATTTTTTATAACAAAAAAAGTTCATTTTACTTCAAAAATTAAAGTTAATGACCTAAAACTGTAATTGTATATTACAGTACAAATGAAGAACCTGATATTTTCGCTCACGCTAGTGTGAGCGTTACACATGCGTGTGTCACGCGTCTGCGCAATGCTTATGGGGTCCCACAAAATTTTCATAGTTATTATGGGGTACCCACTCTAAAACATTTAAGAAACCCTGGTATATAAAAAGTAGTTTAGTACACAAAATGCGCGCAACATTAAAAACAGCTAATATTAATTTGCTAATGCTACTATGTAAACTTACTTCATTATTTTAAAAAATATAAATAAACAAAACAAATCTTCTGCTTAAATTTTCTTTTTTTTTTTCTTTTGTTATAAATTTTTTTTTATAAAACTATCCATGAAATTTTTTTTACTTTACTTTAAGTAAATTAAGCGAAAAATTTTACATTTTTATGAAATCTGAAATATCAAATTGATGCAGGCTAGTTGTCGAGTCGAAGAACAGCCTGTAGTAAATAGATCAGTAAATTAATATTTCATTGATAACTTTTCAGTTAACAGTTATGTTGGTCAGAATTTCGTCTTGTTTACAGAAAAAAATTATTTTACTTAGAAACATTTCACTAAGTGCAATAACATTAAAAATATTTTCAGCACCTGGATCATATTTTGGCCATGAATCACATACTGTCGACTTCAGAAATAAAATATAAAAGATGAATGATGTTCAATAAAACAAAATTAAACTGTAGTAACTGTAGTAATAGATCAGTAAATTAATATTTAATTGATAATTTTTCAGTTAACAGTTATGTTGGTCAGAATTTCGTCTTGTTTACAGAAAGAAATTATTTTACTTAGAAACATTTCACTAAGTGCAATAACATTAAAAATATTTTCAGCACCTGGATCATATTTCGGCCATGAATCACATGCTGTCGACTTCAGAAATAAAATATAAAAGATGAATGATGGTCAATAAAACAAAATTATATTGATTTTATCGAGTTTTGGGGTGAAGAGATTTTTTTTGTCATTTGATTTAAAGCAACTACTAAGTCGAAAGAGAGGAGGGAAGAAGAAAAATATTTTTACCCCTTGTTGAGAACATTTACTAAAAAAAAACTTACTAAAAGCAGTAGAAAATAAAAACCATAACTACTACATGTTTAAGGCGTCGGGCTCTGACATGTCTTATCTGTTTTTCAAACGTACTAGATTGAGTTGTTCACTGCTTCCAATAAATGAATTTACAGCTTCAAAAAGGAACCCAGAAACTTGCAAAAAAATTGCTCATGAAAGAAATAAAAATGTGGCAAAAGAACTCATTAATTTACTGACAGTATTTCCAAGGTAAGACTGGAATTCTTAAAAATCGGGTGACCTACAACAGGTGAAATTTGGGAGGCGGGTAAAAGACAAAATTTGATTGATTTCACGTATATATCTAGATATGATAGTTTATTTCCCAGTTTACGCCACTCACTCAAAAAAATATAAATATAGGAAAATTTCGTTTTTTGAATTGCTTCGTTTCTGGGGGTAATTCGTAAAGTAAAGTATTATTATTAATCCCAGATTTGCCTCCGAGATAACACTGCCGTGTCAAAACCAAACTGCTAGATTTTAAGTGCACAGAACTATTTTTTTAATTTTCTTTATATTTATTTATTTATACTATTTATGTATTTATTCTATTTTAGCCATTTATGTATTTATTCTATTTTATTATCATTTCCAAAAAATGAATTCGTGTTTTTCCAAGGTTTTTATAAAGCGGAAACTCGTAAAATGAAGCATGACTGTGCAAGAAATCATAACATGAAAATTAATATGGACAGGTGCTTTGAGGATTTGATCTATACCAAATAACTTCTGCTTTATCAAACAGCTTGTGGTCGGTAGAATGTATATAATTGATAATAGATAAGCAATAAAATTCACAATAACATATATTTATTGGTAAATGTAAATTTATTTATAAATTGTATCGCATTCGGTTTTCGTAAATTAATAATTTAGAATTAATTTATCTAAATTAAATTTTGAATGTTCGAAGAAGGATGCTTTGTTATAGAAAAAATAAAGCAGAAATTTTTCATTTCCTTAAAAAGTTTTGATTCATTTGCTTGAGAAATTTAGTTTACATCTCTGATTTCAATGACAGAAAATCTTTTCTCATCTTTCCATTTAGTTTAGCTCGTGGACTTGTTCATGTGGATGGCTTAGGATTCCGTCGTAGCTATGCTGAGGAAAGCCTCATCGTGCATTATATTTGTAGGCAGCTCCATCAACATTATTCTGCCATAGGGCCGCAGTACGAACAACATCAACAGCAATGGAAGAAATACCTCCGGCATCATCCCACATTGCCGACTTCGGTCAGTAAGATTTTTATCATAATAACTTCAATATAAAGGCCATAAACCTGTAACATTAGTTGAATCATGCTATAGGCAATATCGAGCATAACTATCATACGATGCAAAATGAACAAGCGCCTAACTACTAGAGCAGTTTGCATTTATTAGCTACTTCATAATGTATTCTGGGCTTGTAAAACTATGGTTTAATGTAATCTTATTTTCAGTAAAACAGATTGAACGTTAATGGACATTAACGAATTACAAATCATCTTTATTATTAGCATGATATTTGCATAATTAGAAAAGGGTAAAAACAGCGGGAAATTGCTACTCGTCAATTATTACCAGTGCATTTGCGAAATTTTCGCATCAACTGTTTTTTGAAGTTACATTACTTAAATTATTTGCGTACATAAATCGAAATATTCCTTTATAGAGCTTTATATGATTGCGTAGTTATATTAATTTCACAATGTAACTAACAATTGATAACACTAAAATTAAAGACGGCAACACTATGTAATTAATATCAATATAAAGAATAACAATGTAAAAAAAATAAATGGTAATGTCTCCTGCTCTGATTCCGAGTATCTAATTTGTTTGTATTGCCCATTAATCTACATAAAAATTTGATTTACTCCTAAATGATTGGTTTTCTTCATTACGTATGTTCATTTTCAAATGGCTGTCTGTTTGCATCTTCAAACACTTAATGAGAAATAGTGATGGATATGTGCATTCTTCAAAAGAACGAAACAGACTGGAGCGTTCCGCTAAAAGAGGAAACTCTTTCATATATTCTCAGACATCCTATTCAGATCTCTTTAAACATCCTATTCAGATATTTGTAAGCATCCTATTCAGATCTTTGTAAACATCCTATTCAGATCTTTGTAAAAATGTAATTATAAAGTGGAAACAAGTTAGATTTATAAAAGCTTTAATATGTAAAAATTAATCTATAAATTTTATTTAGAATACAATACTGATATTCTACCATTACAGATTTTTCCGAATATATTCAATATTCTCGAATTTAAGGCTTTTCCATTCAATCGAAACAATAATCTGTTAATATACAGATTAATTTTACTTTTCACAGGGCACAAATTTCCCTTTTTGTAGATTCGTAAGCCTAAAGCTTCTCTTCAAAATTCACCAGTTTTCGGCCTATGCAATATTCCGCTTCTGTGACTGAAATATGAACGTTCAATATGCTGAAGTCCTGGAATTCAATACATTTGCCATTGGGTTGTGAGCCTTAATGCTATATTTTGTCATAATATCAGAAATATAACATTCCTACCTGTGATGAGAGAATTTCAAAGTCTCGCCCAACTTCTTCTGAGCCCATAGCATTTCCATATTTCATTCATTATCAACTCCTTTGACAGACAACTGATCCTTTAAAGTCTTTTATCTCAATGTCTGGCAGCAGTAGATGTGTCCAGTCCACGAGTCATTGTCTAGATTCGTAATTACAAACCAGTGATGTTCATTAATCACGTGCTGCATTGCAGTAATATTGCAGACTAGCTCAGCATACTGTTTATATCAATAGGTAATTGCTACTAGAATAGTACTAGTTACATAACTATTACACATATATGATGCACAAAGGAAAATAATGCATGGCCCAAATTTCAGTTTGTCATTGTTAAGTAACTTCAGTCAGCATTTTGGCTTAATATCAGAAATACAACATTCTTTCCTATGATATCAGTTTTCGTGTAAATCTCTCTTACGTACGTCTTTTATACATGCTGATGAAGGGAAAAGGAACAGAAAAACTTAGACCCTGGTTTTCCTTTCGTCAGTGAAATAGATACTAAACTTAATTATGAATTTCAACTTTGTTTTTATATCTTTGCGTTATATTCTCAAGCCCACGTGCTAACTTTTACTTATTTTGCAGAATTCATATATATGTTGTTTCAATTCCAGATTTGTTTTTTCATAGAAAGAGCTGAAGAATCTAGTCCGAAAAGGAATCCCTGCCCACTTACGTAGCCGTGTCTGGGCCACTCTATATCGATCTCGGGTCAGTGACATTATGGAGAGTAAAGGCCCACATTACTACAACTACCTATGCAGCCTTGCACCAGATGACGAGGTAAATTTTATTTCTCCATCTTCTCGGTTGCTAAACTGTTTCTTTGCCATGATTCACAAGCAATGTTCCTTCTATGCTGTGTGGTCGAGCATTGATTTTTGTGAAGCTGAGGTGGTGGTTCAACTTCCAAGTCCCACGTGGACTGCAGAGTGTCCAAATAATTGTAAATGCCTGTAAATTGTTCAAATAATGTACCACGATTCAAAAATGTATCATAATGATCATTATAACATTACGTGGCTATAAAAATATTAGAGGGAACATTGGCCGCAAGTTAAATAAGAATATTTCCTAATTGGTTATGAATCTTTTGCCTTAAAATTATAGGATATTGTAATACAGAAGAACAGAATTTTTAATTATTTACCTTGTTATTTAAAAGAATAAAAATTTAAAGCTTTGAAAACTTCTTATTGAAGCTTTTGAATTTGGATTATACGGGCTGTCTTAAATAAAAGTATACCCTAATCGAATTTCAGTACAATATTTCTTTTATACATGTAAAATATTTGAGGACATATATCGAACAACATTGCAGCATATGTAATATTTCTATAAAAAAGGTGTCCCTAACTGTATCGACACAAGTCAAATTAACATGCTTTCCTCCTTGATTTTGATATACTTTTATTCAGAACCTTATTTATTTCCATTTCTTTGAAGCATTTAAGTGCAATAGTTTAATTATTTGAAACAATCCTTAACATTTTATAATACTAATTAACAATTGCAGTGATCCCAGCCATTTATTGTAATATTTCCTCTATCAATAAGAAATGTTGATACTTTTCTGTTAACAAGGCAGCAGTCGCCAAAGTGCTTAATATGGTAGCCCATTTAGATTGCGTCATGAGCAGCTGCGCAATGATAACACACAGAATGTATAATGTGCGCAGTGCCAGAGCTGTGCGTTATGGGAATTTGTGCAGTTCTTTAGCATGCTTTTTATGGTAAAACAATCCCCATGTGTAGAGCGATCGGTTTTTCTAAAGAAAAGTCAAAGAATTTCATAAATCGTCATCACCCACAACCTTGCATTACGCACACTAAAAAGAATATATATTACACTTATTATACATAAAACAATTAATCTTTTCATGAAGCTTTATGTACAATTAAGGTTGCCGCCATCCAGTTAGATTTCGAGCCAATGTTTATGTTTGGCGCTAAGTGGCACCCTTTTAATAGAAAAGTACTAAATATTCTAATTACTGTTTACTAGATTTGTTCATTTTTTCCCCTTACTGCCATGCACAGAAATTCGCTGAAATTAAAATGGCAGATCCAGGTTATATTATGGGGCTTGTGTAAGCATTTTAAATATTACGAAGAGATAAAAAATTCTATTCAAATGTGAGACAACCATTTTGGGGTACTTGTGTATCACTGAAATTTTAATTTTACAGAGAGTTTCCCAACATAAAAGACAAATTGCTTTGGACCTTCTTAGAACAATGCCCGATAATATCCGGTTTGCAGATTCCAATGCTGATGGGGTAAGTCAACTAAGTTTCCTTAATTACATTAATGAGATATGTCTATTTATTTTTTCTATCGTGCACTTAGTAACCACTTTCAGTTATTGATAGTAAGTTTCTACCATTTCTGTATAATAATAGTTCATGTAATTATATATTTTAAAGATATTTTTGTATATCAAACAATAGAGGTTTTAATTTCATACCCTGAAAACCAAGTATTTCGCGACTTATCAAGCAAGACTTTCTTTGATTAATCCTTTTCAACCTTGTGCCGGTTTTAATTAAGATTCTTAGTTGTTAAGTTTCAAGAACGGTGAATTTCTTTCTTTAAATAAAATTAAACTTTAACACTTTCATGATACAGTCGAATCTCTCTTAACCGGTAGCAACGAGATGTCCTCGATTCCGGATATATGAATATATATTGTTGTAAAATGCCCAGCTGCTGTGAGATAGCTTCCCCGCAAAGATGAGTTAGGGGTGCCAGAAAGTGGCAGGTAAAGGCAGGATTGCATATTTTGCGCGATATGTCATAGACGGAGCGAGAACATTCTAAAACGCATTCATAGCGGTTTTCTCGGGAATATTCTCGAAGGTAAGTTAAAGCTCTCTCCCAGCAAGAAGACATCGACGTTCCAGGTCTGTTTTAAAAAATATTTTTTTTCACATGTTATGATTTTTGGTCCTAGCAAGGCCCTTTTAATAAAAATAATTTTAATATTTTTCTAGTCTTCTTCGCTTTGTATTAAAATTTTAAAATTAAAATTTTTTATCTACGTTAACAAAGTTTAAACTCTATAAGCTAGTAGGTTCTCCCTTAAAATCTTGTAAACTTGACTAATAGCAAATCGCTATTTATTTTATTTTGTACATTGGCATCACAAGACCATTATGTATAGTTTTTTCTTACTATTTAATGTGTTTTTTCAAGCGGACGCGTCGGGAACTGGAACAGCAAATTGAGGCTAAAATTTATGACTAAGTTTTTTTCAATTAATATTCAAAAAGAGTTTCGTATTCATTTTCAATTTTCTGTTTCGACGAAACGCGATATGGAATTAGCTGAATTCGAAAATCATTATAAAATTTCCCCGGAAGAGTCGGTAATGAGATTCGAATTGGGCTAATCTACCATTTACCGCTTTTTTGTTTTTGTATCTTTGTTTAAGTCTTATGTCACACTTTTATTCTCTTATTAAAAGTATGCCTTACCTTGATCAGCATATTACTTACAATTAGTTTTGAATTTCATTTGTAAATATTCTAGTGTTAATATTGTTTATTTAATGTTTACACTTTTCATTGCACTTAATTTACTTATGTTAAAATTATCACCGGAACCACAGTATCTAAGCCACTTTTGAGAGTAAGCACTAAGAATTTTCTTTTAACTTGTTTTCTAAATTTTGCAGCTTAATGCGGACAGTTCTGACACAAAGGTCTTCTTTTTAATTGTTATTTTTCTTATTATTATATATATATATATATATATATATATATATATATATATCTATTGCTGTCTGGGAGACACTAAGTGGTTGAGTTTAGAAATTAGCTTGAGAGAGATCGACCGAGTCGGGAGCTGTACTTTAGTGCTTTGCTGTGAAGCTGTCTTCACTGTTATAGAAGGCTGTGTTTAACGTAGATTTTCGACTACTGTAAATGTGTCTTTCGAACTGTCCTGTAACACTGCCGAATAAATTGTGTTTTGATTCTTCATCAAGTGTTATCATCAATTACTCCAAATCCACGAAACCGTAGAATGCAACAATATGAATATTAGGGAAGTACTCGTTCAGCGACAGACTCTCAAACTCACAGGCTCAATGCAAAAGAGCTCGTTGGGGGGTACAGGTGTGCAATATACAGTGAGTTAGCTGATAAGAGGAAAGGCCGAGATAAGCGTCGCAATTTGATAAGAGATTATCTGTTCATTTTTCAGCAGTAATTTCCTTTGTTACTTAAGTTTTAGGATTCTTGGCCGCTATATTTTTCTTTAGATATCTTATTTTGAAATTTCTTTATTCATATGTACCCTTACGAATTTTCCATCTCATTTTCGACATTGAATATTTGCGTAAACTTTACTTAATTTTAGATTTAAATTTTTAATTTCTTCGTGCATTTTGAAAATTTTTAGTTTCCTATGTACTCTTAATTTTAATCTATTTCGTATATCTTCTGTTTATAATGATGTTTTCGTAATCTTAATACTTAATGCTACTAATTTTTACTGTTTTATTTCATTTTAAACAGAAGCCATAAGAAATAATTTAAGGTACGTAGGAAACTATAATTGTTTAAAATGTACGGACAAAATTATAAAATTTTACATCTAAAATTAAGCGGAGTTCATGTAGATAAGCAGTGTCGAAAATAAGATTGGAAATTATTAAGGGCACATATGAATAAAAAATTGCAGGTTAACATATATATAAAAAAAAAATGCAACGGCTAAAAATCCTAAAATTTATGTAACAAAGGAAATTACTTCTGAAAATAAATAAAATGTAATCTCTTATCAAATTGCGACGTTTATCTCAGTCGTCCTCCTTATTAGTTAACTTACTGTATTGTAGAGTCATTAGGTTGTTTAGAAGCAAGACTTGAAAAATGAGAAACGCCTTCGCCGGCAGTCGAACCACGAACTTCTGGAATACACACCCAGCGTACAGACCACCACACCATGAAGGCATGCATGATGCAACCTGCACCCCCTGCGGGCTCTTTAGCTGTGCATTGCACCTGTGAATTTGAATCATGTTGCTGATCCAACGCTTTTCTACTACTTATATGTCAAGAATTTACCCGATGATGTTTCGTAGAAATTTCAATATGTTTTTCTATTTATCGGAAACGATTAAATAAACAACATCGAAAATCGTATAGATTATTTTTAATTTAAACGCATGCGCAGGAGTTTTACATTTCAAAAAACAAAATTAAGTAACATTTTAAAATTGGCATATCTATTACCTCATGAAAGTTATGAATTTCTTATTGTGACGATATATAATTCCCAACGGTTGCCTGTTTACAAGACTATTTTCGGAGTTTATAAAAATTCGATGTGCGTACAATAATGCGCCATAACGTCATAGGCTAACATAGATTAATACTGCTTGGCAAAACAAGCCTGCATCAGCTTACCTTCACGTAATTTTCTTGCTCCGCATGCTGACTGCACTTTCCCCTTCCTTTCTTTATCAACATCTTTTTCATGTCGCCAGTATATGTTTGATTATTTAGCAGTCCTCTTGAGGAAACTTGATGCGAACTGAATTTTATACATCCACCCAAGACTGCACCTCCTCTTCATTAACACTAACTTTCTCCGAACACACACTTAATCCAAGATGACGGGCACGGGCACTAGACCTGTTTTAAAACTAAGATGGTCTTCGTCACTGGACTTATCATTCTACGTATATATTTGCAGGCTACAAATTACGCCAACATTGTAGTTCTTTGTAACATTGTAATAACAAGAAGTAGTGTTCTTTCCATTTTTCCAGGCAAAAGACTAAGTAAATATGGCGTCCAGCAATGAGATGAATCGTTTCTAAAATAATGGATTCGACCTTCAAAATGGTACACATTGTGAGAGAGAACGTCCTACGAATATTTTGGTATGCTCCGCAGCATGCGCATGCCAAAATATGACTAACTAATATGCTAAAATATGACGATTGCGACTAATACGCGTAATGAGACAAAATGAAGACTATAAATGATTATGAGTAGAAAATGTGACTAAAATGACTAAAAAATGCCAAAATACGACTAGAAGCTGCATGAGCATGCCAGTCGTATAGGCATGCAATACTGTTTTACGGAGGTGAGTGTTACCAGATTTGTAGCCAATTACATATTTTTTCTTTATCTCATAGGCCTAAATTTCGAATTAAAATTTAGACCTTCAAAAGTGCCACTATTTTGAAATTGTCGGGTACGACAAATGTTACTGTATATATATATAAGTGCATTAAACTAATTACATTTTTAAAAATGAATTATTTGTCGCAAATTTTAACTGTCAGCTACAGTTGTTTTTAAATCATTTTTAATATGTAACATTTATTTCTGAAAAGATACATTAAAGGAGTTACTGTTTCCTAAGGAAAGGGGAAGAAGAAGAGCGATGAAGAGAAAGAAACTAAGTACCTTTATACATGAAATTTGGGAGAATTGGATACAAAAGTAACTTATGCGTTTGCTTTTCATTGCAAATATTCCTTAATTGTATAAAAATATTTCATTTAAATATATTATAAAGTAATTTTGATGAAATATTTTCATACAATTATCAATAAAGATTTCTCGTAGGTCGACATTTTTGCAATTTAAATTGGAAGAGAAGCACGGCGGTATAAAGCTTAAAACTAGGCAAAAAAGCAAATATGGATCTTGAATAAAACTGTGCTGATTTCGGAAGTCCAACAGTCTTCAGGAGCGAAAAGTTTAGCAAAAATGTTTTCGCTCCTGAAGAAGATTGACTTGTGACTGATGGCCCTCGAAATCGATTGAGTTTTATTCAAAATCTACGTCAAACTAAGATTGGCATTTTGGGGTATTTTTAAATTTGTGCAGTTGTAAGCTCTCTCCATAAAACAGTATTTAATGCTTCTGCTACGCCCTGAGATGCTTTACAAGTTCAAACTTCATGAAGAATTTTAGAGCTACATGTATTGAGAGCATTAATGTGTTTGTTTTGGACGTTTAAATCTGCTTTTCCCATAACACTGTTTCAGTGTCTAAACCAGACACAAAATAATTGATGCATAATCAGTTTTTAGCAGATATTTTTCAGTGAGCATAAAGTGTCCCGCATTGAAAGAAGTATCTCCACTGTAGGATATTCACATCACTCCATCACTTGACAATCTGATTGTTGAATTCTAACTGAATTTTATCAGCTTTATTAATTCACTGTTTTCATTGAGGTAACAGATAGTAATTTCATGTCCTTATGTAGGATTTTTTTTTTCCCCAGGTTCGTAAAATGCAAGAGGTTCTTCAAGCATTCTGCGTACACAATCCAGCCTTAGGCTATTGTCAAGGAATGAACTTCCTTGTTGGAATGTGCTTGCTATTCCTAGAACCAGAAGATGCCTTCTGGTAAATGTTATTTCCCCTACAAATTTAAGCTTATCTAAACATAACCTGATGTGGATCAAGAAGAGTTGCTAGACTACTAAATGCAAATGATTACTAAATGCTCTTACACTGCAGATGAGATAAGTTTCACATCTTTCGCAAACAAATTTGCTAGATCCACGTCTGGTTCATTATTTTATTATCTAATAACCAAAATGTTTTTCATATAAATTAATATAATTATTTTCATATTTTGTTTTTGAATATATATATTCCAAATTTATTTAGTAAAGTCTTATCTTTGATTCGTTATATAACAAAGGTGAATTATAGAACGAACATGTGGCACTGCATCTTATGAATTAATTTATACTAACGCATTCAAAAAGGTGTAAAGTTAAAAACAATATGCAAAGTCTGAAAGTAGCATGAAAAATACTGTAATAAGCTGATTTAAAAAATCAGCTGTGAATTTAGTCAATTTTTTATATGATTTTCATTTATATTATTGTTATAATTTTGACAGAGCAGAATATCAATTTGTGTGCATTAATAAAATGTCTGGAGCTAAATTTGGAACATATCAAACTATGCATTTCTCAATATTGCTTTCTTCCTGTTTTGTTAACTACTGCGCTTTCTAGTAAATATTTGTCAGAATGCATTTCATAAGAGCTGTTCAGTATATGATTGATGCGTATTAATAAAGAAAAATAATATCCTTGAAATGGAAATTAAATAATTTCAGTTTTTAATTAATTTACTTTACATATAATGGTATAAATTATAGCACTAAAAAGAAACTTTGAGAAATTGATTTCTCAAAGAATATAGATCATTTTTTATGTTTTTCAAATATATATATGCAACTGATCTCTGATATCCGAGTGTAATAGGAAAATCAAGCCCTCCTACACACGCCACTGAAAATTCTCGTATGAATTTTGATTCATTATAAGCATAGCTACCAATCTTGTGAATTATTACCAACTATAAACCTAACCGATTATTATTACCAACTATAAACTCTTATTATTATTACCAACTATAAACTCTTATTATTACCAACTATAAAGTCTTATTATTATTATCCACTATAAACTCTTATTATTATTACCAATTATAAACTCTTATTATTATTACCAAGTATAAACTTAACCGATAACATAAAACAGTCGATTAAAATGTACTTTTATATGTATTATACGTATCACATGCTACAATCTTGCCAAAATAAGCTAGAGAAAAGGAATTGCAAGGGAAATATTTGAAGTAAACCAACTGTCACTCGGCGCTGAGTATGGAATCTTGGGGTTGCTGAATCAATAACCTAACCCTTGTACCAAAAGACGTTTCTTGAGATTGCCTTCATGTTCTAATCTACTACTCAGAAACCCATAAGGAAAAGAAATGCAACCGCAATATTTTACTGCATTTATCGATGCTTAGGTTTACGATCTAAGCATCGATGATGATGTCTTAAATGTGAATGCACGATCCTGGGAGTGCTGGATCAGTATTCTAACCGCTGGCACCAAAAGCGCAGATATGAAGACTGTCTTTATTCACTGCAATATTATGCGAAAAATCATAAGAAAGAAGAAATGCAATTGCAGTATTACATTGTAGAACTTATCGATACCTAGAATTTCATCCTAGATTTGCGAAATGAAACGTCTCTCTGTCAGTTTTTATATCACCTTGCATTGTAAGAAACACTATATGCTATAAGTAGGCATCACAAATAAAACTTTTTGCTATAGGTATGTGTATATTTTATGATAACGAATGGTAAAATAGATTAATTATTGTGTCTAATACTTCATAACAAACCTAAATTTTTCCCAATTTTTTTTCTGCATTTCTAATTTGCTAGGTTTTATCAAACTATTGTATACTGCCAAAAACTTACTAATATACTCAATGCAAACCTCCGTGTGTAAGGGAAGTCCTGCAATTGAAACCAGCGTTATTTAATTAAATATGCATACAGGGTTCCTTCTTACGTCTTTATTTAGGGCTTTAACTTCCGAATGATACATTTTAGAGATCATGAAACATTTTCGAGATCATGAAACATTTTATAGATCACGAAACATTTTAGAGATCATGAAACATTTTAGATTAGGGAGTCTATAAATAGGAAAGCGATTGTACGCTGACGGTTAAGAAAGTTTGTAGTTCCTTTAGAAAAGAATTGGATAATTTAAAATTTCTGCTGTGAAAATGAAACTAGTAGATAAAAGAAAACTTTAAAGTGCAGAATTTAAAATAGAGCGTATTTTTCTGCTTAGTTTGTTGTTCTATAAATTCTGTTATTCTGAAGAATACTGTTATAAGCATTTTGTTTGTTTGTGACACCGCCTTTTGAAAACACGATTTCATTGTCTCCGAAGATGGCATCCGAAAGGAGCATTTTTTTTTTTTTTTTTTTTTTTTTTTTTTTTTAAATCTCAGGCTTTGGAGTCAATGTTGACATAGTTATATGGCTGTCTTGTTCTTCCGTAATTAAATACTACACCAATATCGATAGACCTCGTTATCACTCCACTACTACTTTATGCCAAGATGAATCTATGTAGAGCTGCAGCTCTAGAATACTCCAGTCGAAAGTTTAAGGGATCCACACGGACCCAAAGTGGTACCCGGTCATAGTCAGAGCTAATGTTCTTCAAAAATTGCATTTTCACTGGCTAAAGAGAAATGGATATAGCAAAAGAACATGTATTTCTTTACTTTAAATGAATTATTTGATTAGTTCTGAAATTTTATAAGAAATTAAAATTATTTTTAATGTCAAACTTTTGTATTTGTTTTTATTGCTTCAGGTGCCTAGTTGCTGTAACTGAACGTTACTTTACACCTAATTACTTCGACCAGAACCTTATTGGTGCTCAAGCCGATCAAGAAGTTCTGAAGGATCTGCTTCGAGAGAAAATGCCGTTATTGTGGCAACATTTTGCCCAATTAGATATAGAACTTTGTACGGTCACGCTGAACTGGTTTCTAGCTATATTCTTCGACTGTGTTCCTTTGGAGGTACAGTTCCTTTATTTTTATTTCTCAATAAAAATTTTGTTTGGAAGTATTGTCCAAAAATTTCTCACTAATCAAAATAGAAATATTTTATTAAAAGTTGGTATTTATTTTGTTGTACCAAAAATCAGTAAAGATTTGTTGTTATAACGATTCTAAGAATGCAGTAGTTGTTCACACTAGTGCTCAATTTTAATTGAGTACATGCTGAGTAAATAATATGAGGTAAATATTTTTTCAACAAGCTCTTTTATAATTAGAACTACCGAAAAGATCACAATGATGTCTTTTTCTCCTAGGAAGAAATGGGTGCACGTTAATCATTGGGTGTGTAGTTTTAGTATGTTCACCGCGTAACAAAATTAGAGGAGCCAGTAGTTTAGCAGAATCCTTTCAAAATTTCTTTTCCCTTAAAAAATTATGTTTTAGTGAAAAGATCATTTTATTTGATCTTACCTGTTGTGATAAAAAATCATATCATCCATACCTTTTGGGAAAGGAAAACTAAACATTGAAAAACTTTGTCAACTGTCTAACAAAGCGTATGGCCACATCAAAAGTGCAAGGCGGCCTTTATACCTCCAAGAAATTGAATTAATGAAGCATTCCAGGAGGCTTTCGCAGATATTCAGTACTTTTGCAACTGAAGGCATTTTGCTGAAGGTGCATCGATAGAGGTTGTGGTGTAACAGCAACGTGTCTTCCTAATATTCCCAAGCGTATGCTATCAGATTCAAATTCGGAGACATGCCATCACACCGTACGCTCTACGGTTTCTTTTTCAAGCATCTGTTCACAAGGCGCACTGCATTAAGTCGGGTGTTTTCATCCATAAAACGGCTGAATCGCAGATAGCAACAAGTCCCGACCAAGGGCCTTAAAATATTTTCCCCTATATCTTTGAATAACCAGAGACACATTATGAATGATGTGCAGATCAGTGGCGCCCATACATGATGTACGTTTCAGTGCGGCCCAACCTGCCCAAACCAACCGCAATCTTTCTTCGGCATGCGCTGAACTCGGCTAGTGCCACATTGTCCACACATCAGAATCCCCGATTGCCTGGCTTTCGGCTGAATCTGGACTCCTCAGAGAACGCAACTTAGCTCCATTCGGCAGATTCTCACTCATAGTATTACTTCATCCTAGTTTCTTCGAGCCCTATATTGATAGGAAGTCACTGGGACATAAACAATTGGCCTATACGTGCACGCAATTCTCATGCGTAAGGGCGCCTGCAAATCTTTTGTGTCTGTGTTCTTCTTTCAGTAGTTGTTAAAAGTCATCTTTGCAGCAGAAAGGCATTTTAGCACCTGTTCCTCCAAAAAACTGTTAGTGACACATAATAGTCATCATTTGAGGTGACAACTAGTGAAAAATCTTAACACTTTTCCATTTCTTGGAAACAAATCCACAAGCGAACAATTATACTTCGTCTCACTCCAGAAGCAGACATGATTCATTAATTTCGACGGACTTTCAGTCTTCCTAGGGCTCGTCATGCATTAGTTCTTGGCATTTTGTAATAATTCGACGTACTAACGTGAGGCAAATGCAAACCCGAGAGAGCAGTGTGTGAATTTATAGGGGAAACCTGAAAAAAGCCACTTTTATATAATTTTCGCCTCGACGTCGGTTTTAACTTTTGGTAATCTGGATTTCGAACTGCTTTCAGCATCAGTCTTTTCGTAACGGCGAAGAATCTTTTAACAGTTCAATAACATTTTGCTCTACTGCTGTGCATAAAATAGTTTAACAAAAGCACTCATCTAATTTCGTTGATGAGTTTCCTAACTTAATAAAAGTCACCACAAATTAGAAAATATTAATATTTGGCTAAGCGTTTTTGATTACTAAATCAATTTTATTAGGTAGCATATATAAACATTAGATGCAGTGCAAATGTATTCATGCCTATTACTTATATTAACTTTCGAGTTTCTCATTAGACCAAGGTGAATTAATTAATGGAGTCAGTGGTCAAAAAAGCCAGTACCTTCACATCACCTAAATAAAAATTCAATGTAGTTCAGAATGAAGAGTTCAGACTTTTTTAAAAATGGATAACAGTTAAAGTATTAGATTATCTTGTAACTTTTTTTGCTTGTTTAATTTCCAATAAGATAATTAACAGACGGATTAGATTGAATTCTAAGGTTAAAATACTATATCTCGGAATTTTTAAAAAATCTTTTTCAGATATCTCTTTCATTTAATTTGCGGTTTAGTTTCATTAATATTCAGAACAAAATTCTATTCTGCATGAAAAATGTTACAAATCGAATAGAGTGCAGAAAAAAGTGCATGGTAGCCAATCACTGTAGCTATCAGGTCTTGTCAAAAATTATGGACAGTAAAAATGACTCTTGCCAATTTGTAGCTGCAAATATTGCAGACGCGAGTGCTACTTTATACGCTCTATTTTGGAAGTTGCAAGTGAATGCCAAATACCACACATGCACCTGCTGTTTTATTCTCTTGTTTGATCACCCCCTGAAAGTTTCTTGGCAATAGTCGAAAGATTTTACTAACATAATAGTTAAATTCTGTCACAAATGTACACAGATTGGTCAACGTTGTTGACCATATAAAGAAGCTATTGGACATCATGCGACAGGAATTAAAGCTGAGCAATCTTCGATGCTGCGCAGATAGTCATGCCACATCGAAAGGCCATTTTTATGAATGAATGGACTTTTCCCATCATATTGATCACCACAATGAATATGAGTAATCTTAGCTACGTTGCAAAATGTACTGCGACAGTCTACGGGCTTCTGGCACAGCTGAAGGATTACCTGTCGTTGAAAATTTTATAACTAGTGTAGCAATAAATATTTTATTATTAAAAAAAAGAACTCCAACGCCGCGCGCGCATTTCTGTAAAAACTACATCCTGCTGTCATCTATACTTTTTGTATTACTGAAGTTTTTTCTTTTTTTTATTACATTTTTTTATCACCCGGTATATGTGTAAGAGTATTGATGCATATAAAACTATATTTAGCATAGTATAACAATAAACCTAATATATGATTAATTGCATTTTTGCACTCTTTTCTATGTGCCTAATGGCCTTATCACATCTAGCGAAGGGCGGTGGAATAAGAAACTTTTGTGAGAAAGTTATTTCTTCCAGCACTAATTTGATTGAGAGGTTACTAGCCTCAAGGGTTGTGTTTAGCAATCTGTTTCGTGTGTGTAACCGCAACATTGTACCATGCTGGAGGGAGGGGGCTGCACCGTCAGCTCTGTTTTGCGTAGGAGAGAAACTAATCAGACGAAGGCTTAGTTTCTGCAGATATACTTGTAGAGTCATTAGGTTAATTGGAAGCAGAAAAAGATGAAAAATATGCAACCGCCTTCGCCGGGAATCGAACCACAGACCTCTGGAATACCGGCCCAGCGTGCTACCGTTACACCACGAAGGCACGCCTAAGGAAGTGGGAGAAATACCTTATATACTTCTGAGAAGTCTTCCTCTGTGCTTCTGAGAAGAACAAGTTTCTCGGAAATGTTTCTTTCTGAGTTGCCCTTCGATAGATCCGATAGATAAGTGTTTAAGTCAGTAACATGTACCACATTTTCAACGAGTTTGGAGTTTCCAAAGCGGAAAAATGTTGCATAGCAGAAACGTAAACACTTTCGAAGTTTCCGAAACAGGAAAAATTGTCACGGACTGTATTTGTGCAGTGAACGAATGAAAAATTGTGCTAAGCTGTCATAAAAGAAATAACTGTCAGGTTTAATGCAATCTGAATATGCATTGACAGTTACTTTAGATTTCTTTTAAAAAGACAAAACGCATTATAAAGCAAGAAATTATAAAGATAGAACTGTGCTGTCAAAAGCTGAGTGAATACTCTTCCATATTAAACTTCGGTTTTAGAATACATGCTTCTTGGGTGGCGAACAGGCTAGTACAAATGTTCCGAATCCCAACAGAAATTCATTATGCCCCCTTTCTGAGTGGCTCAATATTTTCAAACTCTTATTTCTTAAATTAATATCCATTCAGTTGCGAATGGAGAAGTATTAATCAGAATTTGTATTATTGCTTATTTTTTCAATGAACCTAAAATTCACTACAGAAAAGTAATGCAAACAAACCAGGACTTAATTTCTAAAACTCGAAATGCCGGATCCCTGTGGTAGGTCTTTCAGAATAGCTGAATAAAAATAAATAAATAAATAAAATAATGCACATTTACAAAAAATTTTAATAAAATGTTAAAAGATTTATGAAGATTCTAATAAATTAAGTTATATTGATAAAAACTTGGGTAAAATAAATTAAAATGTCATAAAAATTAAATAAAATAAAGCAAATGTAAATTAGTATATTAGTAATAAATTTTTAAAAAGTATCATCAAAATTAAGGGAAAGCAAACGAAATATGGGTAAATTAATTGTAACAAAACATGGTGCCGAGTGTCTTATTTGGGTTTCTAACTCATTTAAAGCCTTCTTCAATTAGAGAGTACAACAGTAAAGCCCAGCTATCCTGACCAAATGGGTAGAACTCATAAATACCCCTCTTTCCTAAAGAATCGCATTTTGATACCGGAATTTTATTCCTCAGCTGGTCAAGATTTCTCGAGTATTTTGTTTTTCACAAAAAGTGAGACATAAATTTAGTATCTCTATGAACATTAATTTTATCACCTGCTAAATAAAGTATTTGCAGTTATAACAAACATTTCTTTTAATATGTATGTTCTGTTAGTCTAAGCTCCCGTATCAGTGCTCCTGCGTACAAGTCGAGGCTTTATTTTAGGTAAATAAATTTTGCGGAATTTTATGACGTCGGACATATAAGTCAAATAGGAAAAAATCGAGCCACGAAAACTAGTTTTATGCTAATTTTTATGCCTACGTGATCAGGATAACGATAAAGTTTCAGCGGCAATGGAAGTTGATTAAATATGATAAATTTCGAATTAAGATTATTTTTGTTTTTACTTCCTAAAGAAATTTTTTGTTTGATTTCTAAAATAAA